TCATTTCAATGTTTTAACACTGTTGTGCGCGTGTTCGCTTGTGCGTGCTTTAATGTTTGAATGCACATGTGATTATGCGTGTATATGTGTAATATGTATGTGTGTAAATATATATGCGTGTGTATGTGTGTATATATGTATGTGTGCGTAAGTTTGCATGATTTCTATTGTTTATGATTATATGATATATGCAGTGCAAATCAAATTTTGATCATACATCATTTTATTGCACGAGTGTATGTACATTTTGTTTATCTTTAGATGTAAACATACATGAAGACACACATACGCTTACACACAAAAACATACGTACACATACACACACAGATACACAAACACATACATACACATACAAACACAAACACACAAAAATGCATACACATATATATATATATATATATATAAATATATATATATATACATAATAAATTGTATCAAATTTGATCCCCATACATTATAATATTGTATCATATTTTGGTCTGCTTCATTGTTTGGTTTATGACACCATGTATAATATCTTTGCTATTATTATTATCATAATTTATAATCTAATTATGTTGATATTACAGTTATTATTGTTATATATATATATATATATATATGTGTGTGTGTGTGTGTGTGTGCATGTGTGTGTGTGTGTGTGTGCATGTGTGTGTGTGTGTGCGTGTGTCTGTGTGCATGAAATATAATTCGACTACGAAGCAAAAGTCAAAATAAGAAACCAATTGTCGCCCACGGGTTTATTGTATTTTGATTTACACGGACGCACAGACACACACATGCACGCACGCGCACACTCAAACACAAACACACACACACACGCACACAAATCAACATCATTATCGTTATCATCATCGTCATCGTAACATCTTTAAATTCATCATCGCTAACTAATAGGATCATCATCTCCACTGTATCACTTTAGAATTTGAATCTTCATCATCGTCATCGTTTACAAATAATTTATCATAATTTTCAGCAGCAGCAAGATCACTATCATCTTCATCATCTGCCAGTATCATCGTCATCATCATCATCATTATTATTATCAGCCTCCTCCTACTAAGAACAGTTGTGCCATCTCCATTTCACATCAGTAAATTGCACGTGAATGATGTTAGTGTTATGATTGTTATTGATGTCATTGTTGTTTTTATGCTGTTATTGTTGTTATTGTTGCTGGTACTTATATTATTATTATTATTGTTGTTGTTGTTGTTGTTGTTGTTGATGATGTTTTGTTTTGTTGTTGTTGTTGATGGCTTTGTTGTTGATATTATTATTCTTATCCTTAACGTTAACGTAATGATTCTTGTTGTTATATAAATCAAAATGATAATAATAATAATAATAAAAATAATAATAAAAATAGCAATTACAAGATCATTATTTTTCAATGAATAATTTTGTGAACGATTAAAAGTGAATTTATAAATAATTAGGAGTGAATTTACAAATAATTAAAAGTTAATTATCATCTGTCTGTTTGCTGGTTGATAAGGTAGGCAGGACATTCGACGCATACATTTCCGCTGTTAGGTTTTTGCGTAACCCACACAACTATCATCATCATATTCGTCTTCGTCATCATCATTATCAGCATCATCGTTATCAGCATCATCATTATCAGCATCATCGTTATCAGCATCATCATCACCATCTCCTTCATCATTATCGTCGTCGTCGTCGTCGTCATCACTATGAAAACAAATAGCAACAACCACAGCAACAACAACAATAATAATAATGATGATGACAACAAAAACTATAATAATAATAATTAGTGACGTCACAAAGCAAAAATGTGTCAAGGAAACATAACATTCCATCATCATCTTTCCATTCCATCCAGCCAACGTTACGAAAGATACCGTACTTTATCAATGATAAAAAACCACAAAAACATCAACTACCACTACTACTAACACTACAACTGCTGCTGCTACTACAGCTGCTGCTGCTGCTACTACAGCTGCTGCTGCTACTACTTCCGCGATTTCTTCTGTTGCTGCTACTACTGATATTGATAATAACATTAATATATATATATATAAATATTGATAGATATAGATATTGATAGATATAGATATTGATAAATATTGATATATATATATATATAGAGAGAGAGAGAGAGAGAGAGAGAAAGAGAGAGAGAGAGAGACTTTGTATGTCTGACATTGTGTTCATTTGTACGTGGGCGAATGTGTATGTGTATATGTGTGTGTACGTGTGTATGTGTGTTTATTTTGATGTGGGTTTGTTTGTGTCTGTGAGTGCTTTCCCGTGTTTTCATAGCACACAATAACAACCTTATTCTATTTTAATTACCTGTTTCATGTGTATATTCCATATCTCTCTCTCTCTCTCTCTCTCTCTCTCTCTATATATATATATATATATATATATATATATCTGATATATGATATTTGATATATATATATATATACTACAAATATGTATCTATATAATGATACATAAACACATGGAATAGAAGTTCTTTGTCTTTTATCCTTACACTTATCCATCCATACATCCATACATCAAAGGCTTCAGTCATTTTTTTTATTCGTCCTTTCATTTAATTGTAGATTTTCATGTTCGTTTGTTCACTCATTCCTTTATTTATTCATTTTATTCCTTCATTTATTTATTGCTTATAGTTCCAATTAATTAACTGCTCGCTTTTGAATATTTATATTTTGCTATTTATTCATTTTTTGTTAATTGCCTGGTCAATCTTTTATTCATCTCTTTCATTCGATCATTCATTCGCTTGTTCTTTCATTTTGTTTTTTCTTTCATTCATTTTTGATTCACTCACTCACTCGCTAACTCCTTCGCATGTCCATCCATCAAACATCGAGGGAACCGTGATAGCAATAATGAATAATGGTGATGACGATAAATATGATTAAACAAAACTAAAATGCTTACGATGCCAAAGTTTAAGATGATGATGAGGAAGATGGTGAAGAAAATGAGATGACGATGACGACGATGACGATGATGACGTTTCTTGTGAGAATATTTTTCACCCACTCCATACATTACTCACACTGCACCTGGCAACAAGTGAACAAGTCTGGCAACTTTTTTAATAAAATTTTAGTTTCGACAAAATAAATTTAATTTTTAATCTAATTTCTATAATCGTCGTCGTCACGACCACCAACATCATAGTCATCATCATCACCATCATCATTGTCATAATTTTTAAATATATTATATTATATATTATATATATATATATATATATACATTCATATATATATATTCATATACACTAATAACCAGACAGACTAGCAAACAAATGGTCAGTTACTTAGACCTCCTGATGTGAAAAGCAGAGCAATCCATGTCTGGATAAATGATGCTACGAAGACGAATGCGCCTGTTGCGAACTTGAGAAACTAACTAATCGTGTTTGTGGGAAGTGGAAGTTTGGGGTGTTTATTTGTTATTTATTACAAAATGTTTTTAATTGAAGCTAGTAAATTATTTATCTATTTTTTTCGCTAGTCTCTCTCTCTCTCTCTCTCTCTCTCTCTCTCTCTCTCTTTCTCACCCTTTCTCACCCTTTCTCGTTTTTCTCTTCTCCTGAATTTCTCACCTCACTTTTTTTTCCGTCCTTTTCTCTCTTTCTCTATATCTCTTTCTATTTTTCTTTATATAATTCTTCCTCTATCTTTATCTAGTGTTTTTGGTCTCTCTCTCTCTCTCTCTCTCTCTCTCTCACTCTCTCTCTTACATAAACGTGTGAAATTATTGAAAAAAATATTTCCAAAGAGTCCAACGCAAAAGATGGTATGTAATTAATAAAAGAAGTTAGACATTTTCCTAAGACGAATCATCATAAATGTCATCTGGTTGGTTTGTTGCTAGATGTGAATGGTGGGTGCGATTATAATTATGGCGAGTTGGTTGTATTAGTTATTTCAAACTAAAAATGAAATAAATGAATGATTAAAAATAAATAAATATATATTTATACAAAGTTATGTATAATTATGTATCCATGTGTGTGTGTGTGTGTGCGCGTGCGCGTGTGTGTGCGAGTGTATGTGTGTGGTGTACATGTATGTGTAAACAATAATTTTTTTCCTTTAACATGCAATAAACAAAACACATATCTAAAATATTTCCGCAGTCAATTAAAATTATTCCCTATGTTTGATTATTATCATCATCTTCATCATCATCATCATCTTCGTCATCCTCATCATCATTCTCATCATAATTACCTTATCATTAGCATCGTCCTTTACATCATCTGGTCCATATTTTCAACTAAAACATACACATTGTATGTATGTATGTATGTATATATTTATGTAAGCATGCATGTATGTATGTATGTGTGTGTAAATTTGTATCCATGTATGTATGTATGTGTGTGTAAATTTGTATCCATGTACGTATTTGTATGTTTGTATGTATGTAGGTGTAGTATAGATATATAGTATATAGACAGTGTATTGTATGTGTATATGTATATATATATATATATATATATGTGTGTGTGTGTGTGTGTATGTATGTATAAATGATGATTAGCTTATGCATCATCAACAATTTATAATTCATCCTTTATTGTTCGTTCGCTGCTGATTTTGGATTAATTTTTTTTTTGTATAAATTTTTTCAGAAATTTATCAAAAAATATATTTTTAAATTGATTACAAATTCTTGTTTTTGAGGTTAAGTAAGAAAGAAATGTTAAATTGATTTGAAACATTTTTGACCTCATTCTTTCATAATTCCATCTTTTGGTTTTCGTCAAGCTGCTGATTAAATTCGAAATTTATCAATTTTTCTAATTTAAAAATAAAACTATAGACGATTATTTATTAAAATTTATATCTATTAGTAACAGAATATATAAAAGATGTATGTACTTTTTATGTGTTTATGTACTTTTTAAAGAAAATCCGGCAGACGTCTAAAGGAAAAAAAGTTTGATGCCACCTCGCTTGATAAAACCGTCATTTTTCTTTAAAAAAATGCCATCGATTTATAATTATTTACGGTTCGTTACTCTAGTTTCATTACTGCTGTGCAGCTTTTTGCAGCGTGATGGTGCTGCTTCATACATCAACAACTACAACAGCAATGGCGACAGCGGCAAGATCGCTAGCAGCGTTGAAGACTTTAGCGATTTCGACGACGGCGATCTCTCCGACAGCAGCCATCTGAACTTCCCTGGCGACAACATCAATAATTACGAGCAATACAACACTAACTACAACGCCAACTACAACACTAACTACAACGCCAACTTCAACCTCCCACATCCGGACGCCATCCCAGATTGGTACCAGGAGCCATCCGAGGGCAGACAATCGAACGACACCTTTGAGGACATTTACAATTTCGAAGACACCAATCCTTATCAACCGGAGAACAATTTTTTTCCCGAATCTGAAGCAGAGGAATACGACGTTAAAACATCTTCGAGCCATGCGAATGAATGCGAGAACAGGGCATCTTGCACCAGACACTTACCTTTCTCCAAACAAAATTGTTTCTGCGACGAACACTGTGTGACTTACGACGATTGCTGCAGCGATTATGACCCGCCAAGTTTTGCTTTTCAAAGTGGGGCCAACGTTACGAATTCTCTGAGATGTTCTCAACTCGATATGGTCAACTCGAAAGCAGAGTTCTACGTCGTGCACAAATGTCCGCCTGATTTCAAGGACAGCTTCGTGAAGGATCGATGCGAAAACAACGGGCCAGTTAACAAAGATCTGTTCTTCAAAATCTACGTCACCGGATTTCATTCTGAAATTCTCTACAAGAACGTCTACTGCGCCATCTGCCACAACGACCACGAGGACTTTAGATTCTGGCAGGTCATCAAGAGATGTCCTCCAAACCATCCTATACCAAGCGAGGCTAACAAACCCATCACCGCAAAATCCTTCTACAACTTGGACGGCAAACTCAACTGCCCTCTGGAGCTCATCCCACCAACAGGGATCATCCCGAGAAAGTGCAAATCCTTCCTCGAAACCTGTTCCGGGGCGTTCAAAAATTCCTACGAAGGTCGCATGTGCGGAAACGCTCCCCACTCCTACGTTTACAAGGGTGATGAAGTTTTCAAAAATAAGTTCTGCGCCGAGTGTAACGGATTTGAGAACAGTGAATACACGTGCATCGATAATAAAACGACGAGTTATGAATTCGATCTTACGGACAGTGAATGGTTCGGTGAGGGTATGAAGGACTCGCTGGTGGAAATATTCGATTTATCGACAACCACCGGATATGTGCACAAGCCTAAAGCGAAAGAACAATCCGTGCTTCTGGGAAGATGTTCCAAGGAGGGATTGATTTTTGATCCGTTTTCCGTTCCTAAAAAATGCAGACGAATAACGTGTGAAGAAGAAAATTTGGTGTTCTTTGATGGCAAATGTATTGATCCATCCATAACAACGACAACAACAACAAAAGCGCCTACAACTGCAAAACTTTCAAAAACTACAAAGAAAATAATTTCCTCAAAAACAAAATCCCTGCTGACAACTTCTAAATCAAAAGTTACGACGATGCCCGCCAAAAAGATTTCCAAACCAAGCGGTAAGGTGTCATCAACTACCGCCAGTCAAACTGAAAAAAAATCCGTGATTATAACGCCGGCAGCCTTAACGCCTACTACAAAATTATCATATTCAGAAGTTACAATATCGTCGACATTGGCATCTGCAGAAGTAACAACGGCCATTCCAGTTGCGTCTCCAACTACTACTGAAACAGTTACTACAACCACAACAACCACTACTACTACCACTACTACTACCACCACTACTACTACTACCACCACTACTACTACTACCACCACTACTACAACGACTACTACATCACCACCAACTACAACTACCACTCCGACTAGAACGACTACTGAAGCAACATTTAATAAATACGCCGTGCATATTCTTGATAAAGAAACAACAACAACAGGTGCTACTACTACAACTGCTGCTATTACTACTACAACTACAACTATTACTGCTGCTACTACTACTACTACTAAAGCTGCTGTTACAAATTTTAACATTGTTGATAATGATGGAGATGCATACGGTCCCAGATATGAAGATAACGACGGCTACGATGATGATCATTGGCGTGATGATAAATATTATAACAGGGATGATGATGATGATGATGAAATTACAGCGATGGGTGGTCACGTGATATCGCCAACATCATCATCATCACCATTCTCTTCATCTTCATCCTCATCAACTCCACATGAAAGTAACGTTCAAAGTGAAATGTATACCATTAAAAGTGCTGCCTTTGATGGTGATGCTAGCAGTCTTGATGATGATGATGATCACGATAATGATGACGATGACGATGATGATGGGAAGAAGGAGGAGGAAGAAAAAGACGTCAGAAAAATCAATTATGATGATGATCTTATGGATAACCAGGTTGCACAAAGAATGCCGAATCGTGTGAATAACTATAGTGACGATGGTGATGCAGATGATGATGATGGTGGTAAAGATGATGAAAGTTATAAGTTGAGAAAGGTAACGGATAATGTTGCAGTAGCAGCAGCAACAACAACGCATTCAGTAGCTACACGTAAACATCATTATGAAGAGAGCTACGATAATGATAACGAAAAAAATAATATTAACAACAACAATAACGATGATGATGTTAACGACGATGATGAAGATGATGAACCTAGAAATTTCGTCGAGTTGAATTCAGACGATATTCTTTCAAAACCGTCGGTTTACAACGATTCGGCACACAAATACCCGATCGATACGTTGATAATGTTCCACTACTACAGCTCTCAGATGGTAGCTTCCATTGTTGTAACCATCATCTCCATGCTTCTCTTATTAATAACAGGACTAGGCTTACTGCTGATGCGACAATTTCCTAAAACACTGACAACAAAAAGCGTAATCATTTTATGTCTAGTCTTGTTTTTAGCTGAAAGTTCTTATTTATTGACGACTGTTGTTTCAAACTCTGAGCACGTGGAAACTGCTGATAGTCATCAAATATCTCATAACGTGAGAGCTCCAGTTGGAAGTATTTTTTTCTGGAACGCTCTTCTCATGCATTATTTGTGGCTGGTTGTTGCTTTCTGGATCAGTGCTTTCACGATCATTTTCGTTAGGAAGGAATCGAAAGAAATGATGATGTTGGATGATGAAAATGACGATGTCGAAAATGAAAAGAGTTTGAAAGCAGCTGACGAAAAAGTTGCCGTGGTTGTTCAGAAAGATTACGGTTTAAAGTTTTATTTCCTCTACGCGTTTTTTTTGCCTCTCGTTGTCGTCTTTGTGGCTCTTGTCGTCGACGTCATTGGCGGCAAGTCTGAAACCATCGCCAACATCAGACCATTCTACGGACAGCACAAAGTAATTTTTCATATATTTTTCATTATTTAAAATTTCAAAATAATCATTCACGATTTAGTATTGTCATATAAGAATTTAATTAAAACACTAAGTTTAAACTTTTGTTGATAACTTGAATTGAAGGTCTGCTGGTTGACCGGGTACCACGCACTCTGGCTGTTCGTTGCCTTCCCAGTTCTGCTGCTCTGCTCCACCAACATCCTCCTCCTCATCTGCATCGTCCTCAGGAAGTTGAGGACCGCTACGTCCTCCAAAGCAAGCAACTCATCGCTCAACATGGAACCGAGTTTCAAGTTGAAGATCATTTGGGGCTTGTTCTACAACATCCTCTTCATCTCTCTCTGGATGGCCGCCTTTCTCGGCGGATACAAGCACAGAAAAAATCATTACACGGATTTCTGGATTCTATTTTTAATTTTATTCCCTCTCCTAGCTGTTTCAATTTTTTTTGTTTTTTTTTGCTCAAAGTTTGTGAACCGTCTGATCGGGCGGGAGGGAATGTTCGTGCTTCAGTCGACGGAGGATCTACCGGGCAAACAGAACGGACACAAAACAAACGGCTTCCATAAGAACAAAATTAACGGAAAATCCACGCAAGACAAAAATGGGACCAGAAAGTCCCCGTCGAAATCTCCGCAAGTAAATGGAAGTCCTAGGAGGGAAATTATATCTCAGGAAACTACTATGTGAATACGTGAGTGAATGAGTGAGCGAGTGAATGAGTAAACGAATGAAAGAAAGAGTGAGTAAGTAAATGAACGAGTGAGGTTTCTTGTTTATGATCCAGCGACCAAATGATTGAAGTAATTTTGGCTGTCTGCATCATTCATGTGCGCACTGTCTTACATGTTTAAGCAAACTATATTTACCTACGATGAATATTTTGAAAAGATATTAATGAGAGTAATATCTAGTGCTAGCATTTTACGTGTTCTAATTTTATTTCGTGCGTATACACATATATTGCCTTTCAAAGGTTTCTTATACATTTTATAATTTTTAACAATTTGTAAGCAATGTTAACAGTTAGTTACTCTAAATGTGTTTATTTGCAAGTGATTTACAACGAGCTAGCCTTATTTTGCAATATTTAAAGTGCCTTATTTTTGAAATGTCAACCGTTTTATAGAATATTACTTTAAGTTTTATAATTGTCACCAAAACAAGGCCAGACAGACACACACGCACACACAAGCATATACACGCACACATATATCATGTTTTCTTCTACTTTCAACGCAGTCACACGAAGCACCGCGACTAATTTGTACTGAATCAAAACTAAAAAGTGGTTCATGTTTTTCACACAGCGCCAAACATGCATCTAAATTTACCTCTATTTTATTCTCTCTATCTTTCTCTAACCTCTCTCTCTCTCTCTCTCTCTCTCTCTCTATAACCTCTCTCTCTCTCTCTATAACCTCTCTCTATAACTTCTCTCTCACCTATCTTTTCTCTCCCCCCCCCTCTCTCTCTCTCTCTCTCACGTCCACACACACATACATTGAATATTTTTCGTGACTTACATTCATAAAGGTGCGTACAAACAAACGTACCATCGTGCAAATCTTATTTGAATTAAAAGTCTAAGCACACAAAAAAACAATACAAATAATAATGGTTATTATTATTTATTTATAAAAATTATAATTTAAAATGTTAGTTATAATTATAGTGTAATTTGTATTATAGTTATTATTATCCCTGAGCATCATTTACTTTTACAGCCACCATGTCAGGTATATGGCGTACCTATACATGTATTTGTTCTTATTTACGTGTGTTTGAACTCAGGTTATATGTGAAGAGTATTCTACTATACACACAACACACACTCACACCACGCACACACACACACACGCACACACACATATATATATATAGTTCTAATATATCATTGTTAGTTTTCCCACCATTTATATTTCTCCATTATGTAATGACATTCATTTTATTTTATTTATTTATTTATTTATTTATTGAATTTCATTAATTCATTCATTCATTCATTCATTTTTACGTCTACTTAATATGCAGTTTTATTAATTGTAAGTAATACGCTAATGACATCGTATGTTTTTATGGTGAAAAATATATATCAAATAACTGTTATAACTTTTATATAAATGATATATATATATATATATATATATATATATGTGTGTGTGTGTGTGTGTGTGTTTGTGCGTGTGTGAGCGTATAAATGTGTGTGTATGTAAGCGTTTATATATATATATATATATATATATATATATATATATATATATATGAATAGTAAGAGTATATGAATTGTAAGGTTTGCTTATGAAGTTGAGTCATTTAAGTATTTTTAGCGCCGCCAACATGTTCACTCAGCATCATCATTTATTCGTCATCATCTTCTTCATCTTCATCCTCGTCATCAATCATGCTCATCGCTATCTCTGATGACGTCATTATCATCCGTCTCTGTCGTGAACACCAATATTTTTTTGGTTTCATCATCGTCATCAGCAGCAGCAGCTCCATAAAATTCAGCGTCATCTTTGATGTCATCATCATCGTAATCATTGTTGTCATCATCCTCATCGTCGTTGTCATCATCGTCGAAATAGTGCGTCATCTTTATTTACATTCATCATGTCACATCACAAAGTCCAACATGGCTCACTTAATTTCAAGCTTTTTTATGAGGAAATATATATTACTTATTTGTACACTTTACGTAATATCTATAAATAAATTCTCATGAATATTAATGACTTCATTAACATAAATTTTAATTAAAAGGTCTATCAATTCATTACTGTTAATTAATGTTAATGAATTTGGTGTATTATTTCGTGTAATTTATGTAGATATGTATTTCATATTACGTTAGATACTCATGTTATAATTTCCTACAAACTGTCAATTTCATTCATACATTCACTTATTACTCATCCATTAAATGTTCATTCATTCATTCATCATTGCGAATTTAAAAATTACTGACATTAAAGTAAATTTAAATCAATACTTCACACACACACACACACACACAAAAACAAACACAGACACACACATACACACGCAAACACCTGTTTGTAATTTTTAGTTTAACGTTATGTTAAAATTGATGTATTTCTTTTTTTTACATCGTTTCAATTTTTTTCATATATATATATATATATATATATATATATTTATATATAATAAAATTGAATTAATCCATGGTAACAGATGTATGTGTTTGTGTGTTTATGTGTGCGCGTACGTGTGTGTGTGTTTTCTTTATAGTTTTTTATACATTCTTGTTCGTTTTTATGATTAAAATGAATTTTATCGAAATATTTTTTTAAAATCAAATATTGATGACGTAATTTTAACGTAATTTTCAAATTTCTCTCCATAATCTTTCAAAATAAATTTTTAAAGCCGAAATTTTTTATTTTGTAAGACAAGCGTTTACGCTACTGACAAACAATTTTTATCATCACGTTAAATGTCATTATCATCATCATCCTCTTCATCCTCTTCATCCTCATCATCATCTTCGTCATCATCCTCCTCTTCATCCTCATCTTCGTCATCATCTTCATCTTCGTCATCATCTTCTTCTTCGTCATCATCTGTTTCGTCATCAACCTTTATTTGTTCGCGCTGACAAAAAAAAGTCAACATAATTTATCTATTTGTTTTTTTTATTTAGCCTGAGAGTCAATCAATCGTTAGCTCATTCATTCGTTCGTTCATTTTTTCATCTGTTCTTTCATTCATTCATTCACTCATTCATTTATTCATTCATTCATCTAAAAATGCAAATAAATGACACAACAGTCCGCAGAACTGAACAAAATGAATCCGATACCAGATTTAGAAATATACACATCAAAGAATACCGCAAAAACATAAATACTTCGAGAATAAAAACACCCCCATACAAAAGCTACTCCATATACAAAAGGTATCGGCCACTACTAAACTAACTCATGCACTTGAGTTTCTTCAGGTCCCAATACCTGCCCTGACCATCGCAAAGGCAGAAATATAAGCCAGGTCCATTGATACAAAAGCCCTCACAGTTATTGGTCGGTTGATCGCACTCGTCAATATCTTTGTGTGTGTTTTGTGTGCGTGTGTGTGTGCGTGCGTGTGTGTGCGTGCGTGTGTGTTAGTGGGTATGTATGTGAGTACAAAAGTGCAAATATTGATGAAAATTACAGCATGTTCGGCGTTGGTTAGCTTCCTGTTTAATTTTTTGATTTTTCTAACGGTTGACCGTAAATCATTCTCTATTTTCTTGAATTCGAAACCAAAATTGCGTGTGTATGTAAGTACATAAGTGTATATATATATGTATGTGTGTGTGTGTGTGAGTGAGTGTGTGTCTGTGTGAGTGAGTGTGTGTGTGTGAGTGAGTGTGTGTGTGTGAGTGAGTGTTTGGGTATGTATGCGGGCTTACCATTGCATGTTTTTCCATCCAAATCAAGGTAGTATCCGCTGTCGCAAGAGCAGTGATCAAAGTTTCCATTTAAATCGCTGATGCATTCATCACTGCAACCACCGTTGCCTACGTCACAACTCTCTGAAATATTATTAATTATAATTAATTATAATTAATTATTCAATTAGCATAGTTATAATTAATATTATTATATTATTGCTTTATTAAAGAAAGTAATTAAAGGTATAAACTAAATGTTAGTCATGTTTGGACGCATATGTACTTAACTATTGCCATCTATATACTAGATTTATTAATTTAGATGAAAATAATATAAATAATCATTACAAAAATAATATTAAATAATAACAATAATAATAACAACAACAGCAAAATGACGTACCGCATGTTCCCATATAGCAATCGACTGACTCGATAGATGGGCCGCTGCAAGTCGGTTTCGTCGAAATATTCGCATTAACCGGTACATCCTTATTAATCGTGCACTGTCTCGATCGGTATTTGCTGCCATTTCCACACGTTACCGAGCATGCCGAATAGTTGGACCATGACTGCCAACTAACTAAATTTTGTTTTGCATTTTCTTGTGTGTTGTACTTGTATCAATTTCTGTGTAAATTTTGTAAAATTGTATACTTTTTAAATTATACAAATTCATATATACATTTTGTATTCAGTTTTTGCCTGAAATTCGCCACATACGTTTAATTTTTTTTTACAATAAATGGATAAAATATAATTTAAAAGAAAAAAATTAAAAAACAAAACGTGGGAACTTACAGCACTCGACAGTTTTGCAGGGAGCCTCGTCTTCTGAAAGACCGCTGCACGGTTTCCCGCCAAAAGATGGCGATGGGTTGTTGCACTGTCGAGTTCGGTATTTCGTACCGACACCGCAGATGACGTCACAAGGACCGTATTCGCTCCAACTACTCCAGCCGCCGTTTACAACTAAGGAGGAAATGTTTAAATTGTAAAAATTTTCGTTCATCTTGGTGCTTCTACATTTTTTTTTATTGTAACGATATGTTTCAATATTTTTTTTAAAGACATTTTATAAATACTATCATAATTTATACTATATTTTAATACTTTATTTTATACCATAATACCATATTTTATGTTACACTTCAAACTTGTTATTCTGAATGTTAGCTCTCCCACTACATCCATTTCTACCTGTTAATGAAACTTCTGCTACCAAATTTTTACAAGAAGATGAAACACCTAAGCGTTGTTAAACTATCAATGACAAATAATTTCTGTGAAGCTAACTTTTGATAGGAGGAACGTTTATTAGAGGATTTTTTGTGGCTGTCGACGTCTGGCTAATGTTTTTCGGCGCTGTCGTAACTATTGCGAGATCAAAATTGTTTTTGTTATGTTATGATTAATTTGCTTTCATTATTGAGGAACAAGCTCTGTACGTAGTTTGCATGGAATATTTTATTCAAAACCTCAAGTAAAAATGTAGTCACATCTTTTTAAATTATTTTTTCAAAATCTTTGAAGGTATGAAAGTTTAAAATTTTTGATCAGATCAAAAACCAAACGGTGCAATCATCTCCATCACCATCAAAATATGTTTGACCTATTTATAAACTCGACCTTTGATCGGGCAATCGGGCATGACCTTGGAGCATGGCATTCTTTCAAGGGCAACTCCGGTGCACATGTACTCACTGACCGATTCATCGTCACCCGAGCAAGCACGCGACCTTGACTGCAAACCTCCCTGGCCGCAGGTTTTGCTGCAGGATGACCAAGCGTTCCAGACTGACCATTGTCCAGTTGGCGGCTCTGTGATGTGGTGTGGTGGGGTTAGGTGTGAATGTAAGACCTTAAAATATGTTGTTGGACGCTTCAAAACAGTGCCGCATGGACTTATGTGTTTGATTGACCATTAAGTTGAACAATCAAATCTGATAAAACGAGAATTAACAATTACAATCAGAGCAAAGGAAGTTACGGAGGCCAAAAACACCAAAGAAGTGGGAAAATAATGAAACCGTGGATGTAATCTTCGTAGTAATAATACTGCTCGCAAGAGCCTGCGTAACAAAGTACGCCTTCAACAGAAGCACCATCACATTGGTCATTTGTGCTGCTACTGTTGCCGCCGCTGCTACTGCAGCTTCTACTTCTAGCTTGCATGCCCATTCCACACGTAACAGTACATCTTCCATATCTTGACCAAGCTGACCAGGAGGAAGATTCTGTTTGTTTTTTAAATTAAGATGATTTTCGTTGAAGATAATGAATCGTACACACACTAATACACACACACACACACACACACATGCACATAGATTTATGAACATACACACAAACATATACACACAAACACATGCACATATTATAAGTTATAGTCAATGAAATATAACGTTAAATTAATAACGACGACAACAACAACACCAGCAATAACAACAACAGCAGCAGCAGCAACAACAACAGAAACATACCAACGACATGCAGATGCAGTTGAAGAATTGAACTGAGAACTACCATTACGAACCAACCCATCTCTGATGTATTTCGTATTTTTCATTTGTGATTTTTGTTACATTCAAAAGGTAGTATGAATTGTAGAATTATAAAGTACTACTTCTACTACTACTACTACTACTACTACTACTACTGCTGCTGCTGCTGCTGCTGCTACTACTACTACTTTTTATTTATTAAAGAATCCATTAATATATTTATATAATTAAATACACATATTTTATAGTAAATGAATTTATAAATAAGTCATCCAACCACTGATGAAAACTTACTTTATTTATTGATTAATTAATTAATTAATTAAACGAAATAATAAATTATTAATTCAAATATTAACAAATTAACACAACTGACGCGATAGTAAATTTGCTAAAAATATTATTACATTCGATGCTTTGAGTTTGATTCTAACTCGCATCCTAATCCAATTTATATGTTCATATGGGTCCTGACGTGTGCACGATTTGTAAAAAGTATGTGAAGATAAAATTGTAAAAATGCTAAGAATACTGACAACTATAGACAAATATAAATATAACATAGTTAAAAACTCAAAATTCTGAAAAAATTTGAAAATCCTGTCTAAAAATACAATGAAATCAAATTGCAAAAAAGTCCATTTCGTCAATAGCTCATTTATATAAAATTAAAAATTCTAAACAGGAGTGTGAGGGTTACAACGTGTATATGGGAAGATGTGTGGGAAATTGATTAATGTCCAATCGATAAGAGGCTCGCTTCGATGCTGCCCAAGTTAATCGCTCGGATCACGGAGGAAAAAAATTCTCATTTTTGAACCAGTCAAGTGTGTTTGATGGAATGTTACGTAAAAACACACAACACAACACACACACACACACACAAATAAGCTTTCAAACAACAATCTACACAAGCAGAAAAACAAACCCACTGCTCGCGCACATATATAAAAAGAGGAATATAATTTACTAAATGATTTTAAAATAAACTTGAAAAAATGGCACGGCAATAATGATTAACAGCACGATTTAACCAATAGCCTCATTCAGTTGCGGATCTAGAGAACTTTGACGAGAAGAAGGGGGTGGCGAGGGGGACAAAATTTTGACGGGTAAGAGACGTTTGACGATTTTACTTTGATGTAACTCGAAAAATATTTTTTTTCAATTATTTAAATGCGTGTTTATCAAAAAAAGAGAGAAATTTTTATGCAATATCAGTCAATGATGCTGATGGTGATAATATTGATAGTAGTGACGATGATGATAACGGTGATGATGGTCTGTTGTTATCAAACCATATCAGAAAATAAGATAGGTTCATCTGTTTCCTGGAGAAGAATATTAATCAATCAATCGATTAATCAATCAATCATTTATTTAACTAACTAATCAACGAACCAACCAATCATTCAACCAACCAACCAACAAACCAATCAATCAATCAATCAATCAATCAACCAATCAATCAATCAATCAATCAATCAATCAATCAATCAATCAATCAATCAATCAATCAATCAATCAATCAATCAATCAATCAATCAATCAATCAATCAATCAATCAATCAATCAATCAATCAATCAATCAATCAATCAATCAATCAATCAATCAATCATTCAATCAATCAATCAATCAATTAATCAACCAATCAACCAATCAATCAGTCGATTAATCAATTAATCATTTATTTAACTGACTAATCAATCAATCAATCAACCAATCAACCAATCAATCAGACAGTCCGTTTTAGATAGTTACAAACCATTAGTCAGTCAATTAACCGATCAACCGGCCATCCAAACAATCAAAATACCAACCAACCAATCAGTCAATCAAAAAACCAACCAACTTATCAATCAATCAACCAATCCACAAACCAACCAATCACAAAGCGACACAAACTTCTGTATGCGAGACCTTCTTAGGAGAGATCTTCAGGTAGAATCCGCGAATAAGGAAAAAAGTTGCAAACATCAAGAAGACCAAGCCGATCACCACCAAACCGTTGATACTGAATAATAATAATAATAATAATAATAATAATGAAAATAATTATAATTACTTTATTCTTCTTCTGAAAGAAGTATACACACATACGTTCATTAACACGCACATACAAAGCATAATACACACATTAACATACATTGCACATTTACATAGATGCATGATAATAAAAAAAACACACACACACAAACTTACACACACACACACACACACACACACACACACATATATATATATATATATATATATACAAATGCGCACATAAACAAGCATAAGTACACATATAAATACCCACAAATACCTCTTTTATGCTATAATACCTGAAATGGAAGGAAGACAGTGTGAAAAAGAAAAAGCCAGCGGCCCATACGAATATAAAAGTCAGTCTTATTAAATTTCTTTCGCATTCATCTTCGTCAGCAAATGTGTCTTTCTGTATGATATTCGTTCGTTCATTCATCCATTCATATTTGATGTTGTAATTAAATGCTTAATGTGTTTTTTGACATTTTGTCTACCATTAATTAATATATTAATACGTAACGACAGTTACGATAGAAATCAATGTAAACTGATGTGAATGAATGAATGAATGACAGACCAACCAGCCAACCAACAAATTAGCCAATCAGTTAACCAATCAAAATGAACGAACGAACGAACCAACGAACAAACAAATGAATGAAAGACCAACCAATTAATTAATTAACCAACCAACCAATCAGTCAAACAAACAACCAACCAGCTAATCAATCAATAAACCAACCAACCAACCAATCAAATCAACCAACCAACCAATCAATAATCAATTCAACCAACCAACCAACCAGCATCTTACTCACCCATAGCCAATCAAGGCATCTTTTCAATGCATCCAAAATACCCATCACTTCATTAAAACTACTACTATTACTATTGTTACTATTACTACTACTACTACTAAAAGGTGTTAGACGAATGACTAATTAACTTATTGATCAATCAAATTGACAAAGTGTTAATATATATAAATCTATGTATACCTGTATATAAATATATAAATAAATATATATATATATATATATATATATACTTGCTGAGTGTGTGTGTGTATTTAACTATTTTATTAATATTTAAAAAAAATAATATTATCCTTTAAACGCGTAAACCCTCAACATTGTTATCATGTGTACAAAGGAAAGTTATATACAGACATATGTATATATATATATATATATATATATACATATATATATACATATATATATATATATACATTTGTTTATAGAGAGAAAGAAAGAATAAAAGAGTGAGAGAGAGAAAGAGAGAGAGAGAAAGAGATAGAGAGAGATGGGAGCTACATACTTCAATATGACATGTCTAATAACAAATCGATAATACATTGTTTATCGTATAATATAAAAATTGATCATTTGTTAAGAAGATAATGTAGACGAGCGAATGTGTACGTATTATGTGTATACGTGCGTGTCTCTGTATGCGCGTTTGTACCTGTGGGTAATTTTTCTTACTCATCTCACTCAAACACTCATTCATGGTTAATCAATTGCACCTTCATTACACATAAACATGCGGGTTGTAGTATACGCATATTCATAAACACCTTTACCCATTATGATAACGAATTGTTATACTAACTAGAGTACACATGCGTACGCGCACATGCATACTCTGGTAAACACACACACACACACACACAGCAAGGGAGATAGATATAAAAAGAGAGGAAGAAAGAAAGATAGGAAGAGATCAAACTGTCAATCAAATGTCTTCCAAATCGAATACTTGAAATATAAATGCCTGATATAATATAATATAATGAATGAATGAATGAATGAGTGAATGAATGAGTGAACACGGATAAATTCTCCTTTTTTATTCTGTAACATTTACAGTGTAAATTAAACGTACGACAAACAATACTATGGTGGCATCATTTTATTTGTTATATTGCTCTAAACTTTCCATATAAATAAATATCATAAATAACACTTTTTATAACTTTTTATAAAAATAATAAAGATGATAATATGATTATTATTATTCTTCTTAATAATACTTTCAGCTGAAGTAAAAAATAAAATTTTTCCGGTAAAAAAAATTTTAAAAGATTCGCACTCTGTTTCAAATAATTACTTGATAGGAAGACAGAGAAAAATAAAAACATTGAAATTGTTTCTGTTAGTATAAGCAGTCAAATTATAAATATATATATACACATATACGTATATTATATATATTATCCAAATTCAAATATATATATATATATATATATATATGCATGCCATATAAATGTTATCACCCTAATACATTCTTATCATTAAAATTATGCCCGTCATAATAAGCAGCATTATTTCTTGAATAAAATTATTATTTCTTGAATAAGATACTTATGTATATATAGGATTAAGACTGTCAGAAATGTGATTATTGATGAAAATCACATGTTCCGCGGTAGTTAATTTAGTTATAAATTTTTGATTGACAGAGCAGCGCTATATAAATGATCGTTGTTTATGAAAAAACTGAGTAAAATGAAATTTTTTGATGAAAGTGAAATATCCATTTCTAATGGTAAATGAAAAATTATTTAGTCGCAAATAATGTTATGTAGATATCAGGAAGAGTTTTTTCAATTGTTCCTCCATCCATTCGTTCACTCATTCATTCATTAGTTCACTCGTTCATTCGTCAATTCATTCATTCGTTCAATCAAAATTATTTTAAGTCATAACAATTATCTAAGTTTGATGAAATTATAACCTAAAAATAGAAAAAATTAACTAAGGAGCATGCATATTCATGGAATTGACTATACAAAATTTTCATAAATTTTTCAAAACAAAAGAAAAATGGATAACAAGCGGAATGAATGATTGAGTGAATGAGTGAGTGAGTGAGTAAAAGTGAGTGAGTTAATAAATGAATGAGTTAATAAAATAAAAAAACAAGCTAATGTGGTTTAATGAAAACAAACGGATAAAAATTGAAAACAATAAAATGGACAACATCAGCGTAATAAACAAAACGAGACGAAATGAAACGAGAGGCAGAAAAGTCATCTTAGGCTGTGTGTGAAGCAATAAAAATTTCTGAGATTAACTGAATGTAATTACGTCACCATCATCGTCATCATCATACCAGCTACAGTATTTTTTCATCACCTCAGAGTATCATTATCATTATTATTATCATCATTCACCCTTCTAAAACGACGTACATCATCATCACCATCATCTTTCTTCCACTCCTCCTCCTCCTCCTTCTCCTCCTCGTCATCATCATCATCGTCGTCGTCACAATCATCGAAGCTATCATCGCTACAATCGTCATCACCATCACCATGGTAACAACAACTAGCATCATTGTCAGCACCGAATCCCTGCACGCCTTCACACTTCAAGAAATCATCAGCTCTCCCTTTAGCATCATTATCTCTCTTTCCTCCTTTTGTAGTTGCATTAGCAGCAGTAGTAGCTGCATTCACAGCAGTAGCAGCTGTATTTCCAGCTATGGTAGCTGCCTTTCCAGCTGTGGTAGCCGCTTCTTTGACGACTCTATCGAAGATTGATCTTAGAGTGAGTTCAATTTCACCGAGTAGAGGTCGCACGTCTGGATTGCTGTGCCAACAAGCCAGCATCAAGTCCCAACATTCCGGGTCCACGTCTTTTGGTTTCTCCGGTCGAAGTCCTGATTCATTTGCGTGAGTGAGTTAAAAAGTTATTTGTTCAACGAAGCATTTAATTACGGTGCAATCCTCTGAGGAATGTCAATGGAGCGAACATAATAATACTATTAAACTTTTTAAAATAAATATGGAAGTTTTAGAAAAATTTGAACAATTTATGTGAAAGGTGACAAATTTCTTATGAAGAAGGAAAAACGCGAGAGTTGTTATAATCAGTTAGCGTAATTAAAAAAGCATCCCCATCATGCTCATCATCAGCACCACTACCGCCATAAAGACGACAACCTTTTTTGACGCAGTTCCACAGAACTTCCTTGCTGGGACATTTCTCAAATCTCAGAGGCAACTGGACACATCCAGAACATAAGTACCAGAACAAAACTCCGAATGCGTATATGTCCACACTGTGGTCGTATTTGCCTGAGTGGTGGGTTGGTCAGTCAGTCAGTCAGTCAGTCAGTCAGTCAGTCAGTCAGTCAGTCAGTCAGTCAGTCAGTCAGTCAGTCAGTCAGTCAGTCAGTCAGTCAGTCAGTCAGTCAGTCAGTCAATCAATCAATCAATCAATCAATCATTCAATCAATTTTAAGTTCAACCAATCCAACCAGCCAATCAGCCAGCCAGCCAACCAACCTGCCAGCCAACCAACCAACCAGAAACAAGTTCAGGCGCCATATGTATGGGAGTGCCAACGATACTACCCGTCATTAGAGTTTCAGGTTTACAGAAACCAAGGTCGGTCAGCTTGGCGCGTTTGTTGCCGTCTATCTACTCACCAAAACGCCAATAATATTAATTAGCTAATTAATTAAATAATTAAACAGGTAATTAATAGATTGATTAAGAATTAATAGGTTATTGATTATATCAACAAGACACCAACCAACCAATACGTTCTTAAGTTTGATATCTCTATGTACGAGGCCCTGACTATGCAAGTATCGAATGCCTTCGACTACGTCAATCGATATCTGGAGTCTGTCTCGTCCGGTGTTTGAATTGATGCATTGATTGATGAATGAATGAATGAATGAATGAATGAATGAATGAATGAATTAATGAATGAATGAATGAATGAATTAATGAATGATTGGTCATCTGATTGGATAGTTGATCGAATGGTTACATGATTAATTGAGTGATCGATTGAAAGAATATATCAGTTAAATATTTTTTCCCAAGTCGTATCATAGGTAATTTCGATAAAACGATTCGTCAAGCAATCAAGCAGACAATCAGACAGACCGTTCAATCCAACTCAACTTCTTCTCAATAGCGGTATGCAGGTCCATGTCCAACTTATCCATGATCAACATGACCGCCAGACCATTGGAACTGTACGTGTAATCAATAACGGAACCCCTAAGTACTGCTATCCTGTCGTGTTCCGGAATGTTCCTGTGTGTGTGTGTGTGCGTTTGTGTGCCTGTGTGTGCGTGTGTGTGTGCCTGTGTGTTTGTCCGTACGTATGTATGCCTATTTGTTTTGTGTGGTTTCAAATGATAGGATAAAATATATTACAAGCAAAAAACCTACAAACCTACAAAAAACCCATGAAACGTGTATAAAGAATACACAATCACAAAAACATTGTATAATACACACGCATACACACACACACACACACACACACGCACACGCACACGCACGCACGCACACATACATAGTATAGTAGAACTCCATGGCAAGATCATTCCAATGTTTTTCATCCGGGGGCACCATTGTTTTGACGGCACAGGGCTTGAAGCCGGCCCACGAGTCACACATAAAAACAACCCCGTACTGACCATTGCCAATCATCGCACCCAACTTTGGTTTGCCTGTAAAGTTGGTAACACACGCACACGGACTCACACATACACACATATACACACACACACAAACAACACATCACAGACACATAACAAACCATGCAGCAGCAAGTCTCTGAGAGATCGGCTTTCGAGACTTAGTTTGGCCACTCTAGGGGCATATTCTTTCCTTATGGTCAGCCTCTGGACCTCGGTTCGTTCCAGCTGACCGCTGTGTTTGACCTCCAACTGTTTCAGGCACTGCTCGAAAGTTTGATGAGACTTCTTCAGACGTTCCTTTATCTGATTGCATATGCTTCTTGCTAGTCTGTGTGTCGTTGTGAGGTGTGTGTGCGTGCGTGTGTTTGAGAGAGAGAAAGAGAGAGAGAGAAAAAGAGAGAGAAAAAGCGTTAGTGTGTGTGATGGTTAAATGGTAACTGATAGACGGCAACTATTAATAATATAAAAACTATTATTCAAAAAAATTATTTAAAGAGAGTTACGTAGGAACTAACTTTTGGCAACGAGATTCATTTAATGATGACAGCATTTCCGAGGCAACTTTTTTCTTCCAATCAGCATCAATTTTCATCGAGGGGCGGGACCAAATTGAATGCAGAACCTGTGCGATAGGTTGATATAAATCTATAAATAAACTAACAGTGGTAAAATGATTTGTGATTGGTTGGTATGAATCTGCAAATATTCAATCAGTAGCAGTGAAAAAATTTGAACCAAGAGCCAGCTAACAACTCAATCAGTAAAACATCCAATCACTATCATTCAAACTAACCAACAAATCAAACCAACCAATCAATCCACCAACCAACCAATCAACCAATTAACTAACGTGTTTCATCCTTTCAATGAATGCTCTGACAAATGAATCATTAGTTTGTAATGTTATGTTCACTTGGTATGCTGTGCTTAAAATCTGATGATGACGATGATGAAGAAGGTAACGAAGATGATGATGTTTCTAACGATGATGATGTTATATGATGATGACAACAAACTATGGTGGTGATGACGATAAAGACGACGACGACGATGACGATGATGCATATGGTGAGGCTGCTGAAGCAAAGATGAATGATGATATCACCCTCACAATGCCAACCACGTCAACACCATCCTCACAACCATCACCATCATCATCACAACCACAACCATCATCATCACCATCATTATCACAACCACAACCATCACCATCATCATCACAAAGATAGATACAAACGTCTTTAAGAGCTCTGGATGTCCTTGAAGATTCCAACCCTGTCTCCACGTCCAACTGTTCCAATGATTTCAGACACCTCGACAGAATGCCTGAGTGGAGGATTGATCGAGAAATATAGTGTACGGTAATAAGTGGAGGGAGCACATCAACATCATCGAGCCATCATCACATCATCATCGAGCCATCATCACATCAACATCATCGAGCCATCATCACATCAACCAGCAAGAAACAACAACAGCAAAACATGCAAACAACATCAACAAATCATGCAAACAACAACTCATTGATAGAAATACATGCAATACATCAACCGAGAAAACGACAGCAAGCAACACATAAACAACGAGCAACGAGCAAACAAATAAACGAACGAATGAACGAACGAACGAATGAATGAAAACAAACAGACGAACAGCAAACAACCAACCTATGTAACTCTCTCTCAACACATCAACAGAGTTAACGAGTTCTCCAGCTATCATGCCATTCAAGTTGAGGAGTACGAAATCTTCAATCTGCTCGGAGCAGAACTTCAAGTCCTTAGATGAACCTACCAATCCATCTTCTGATAGTTCTATACCTTTGTCATTGATTGATTGGTTGATTGGTTGATTGATTGGTTGATTGATTGGTTGATTGGTTGGTTGATTGATTGGTTGATTGGTTGATTGATTGATTGGTTGGTTGGTTGATTGATTGGTTGATTGATTGATTGGTTGATTGGTTGGTTGATTGATTGGTTGATTTAAAAATTGTCTGATTGCCTGGATCAGCTGGCTGATTACTGGGCTGGTTGGTTGATGGTTAGTTAATTAGAGTAATGAAATTGAAAACAACTTCATGTGAATAATAGAATAAACGACTGTGTAAATTAATGAATGAACAAACGAGTGAAAGAACGAACAAACGAATGAAAGAACGAACAAACGAATGAAAGAGCGAACAAACGAATGAAAGAGCGAACAAACGAATGAAAGAACGTACAAACGAATGAATAAACGAACAAAACCATTCTTGAACTGACCGACAATCTCACAAGTGGCCGCTTTCTGAATAAGCTCCTCCTTCTTTCTGTCAATCATACCACAAATCATCTTCTTCAGTTCATCTTGCTTCTTCGTCGCCATCTCCATCAGTGAATTATAAAGTTCCTCCTGGGGTTGAAATGAATGAAATGATCAAAAATAAATAAGTGTCAGTGTTATTAGTCAACCAACCAATCAATCAATCAGACAACCAACCAATCCATCTAACAATCCATCCAACAATCAACCAACCAATCAATCCATCCAACAATCAATCACACCATTCAATCAACCAACCTCCTTAGTTTTAGCGAACTTAATTCTAGGAGGCACACGGAATCCATTCTGTGCCATGTTGTAAGCAATCTTTATGGTGGAATCCAGACAATGCAGGTGAACGCTGATGATGACGTTGACTGTTTTTAACAACATCCTGCTCAGGACAACTTTTGTAAATTCGTGCAGTTGCGCTGTTAATTCAAGTCTGTCTACGTCGTTGTTGATGCGATTGATGTCGTTGTTGGTGTTATTTGTGCTGCTGTTAGCGCTGTTGTTGTTGTTGTTGTTAATGCAGCAGTTATAGATCTTATAATCGAAAAGTGAGTATTGCTGTTGTTGTTTCTGCGTGGCTGACGTCACGACTGGCGATGATAATGATGACGACGACGATGCTGATAATGATAGATCAATGGATGGATCTGTTAAAAATCTGTGGCGGAGGAATGAATGATATGAAAAAAATCATTCTTTATATCTTATCTATTTACATCCAAATTATTATTATTATTATTATTATTATTATTATTATTATTATTATTATTATTATTATTTAAGATTAAGCAGAACATGTGAGTGTACTGCACTCAAAATATCAGAGGCACTATGACTTTCAATCTATTCAGTAATAGCATTGGCATTAATCATACTAAAAGACGGTAGTGAGAGTAGCAGAAGCAGCATTTGTAGTAGTAGTAATAGTAGTAACGGTAGCAACAGCAGCAGCAGTAGTAAAAGTAATAGTAGTAGCAGCAGCAGCAGTAGTAGTAGAACATTTGAAACATTTGAAATTAGTTAAGTAACATAGTAACAGTATTAGTGGTGGTAGCAGTAACAGAGTAGCAGTAATAGTAAGTAAGTAACATTAGTAGTTTGTAGTACCAACTTAATCTCCTCTCCATATTCTTTTAAACTGACCAACGGTTTGAAGTTTAACTTGAAAAGCTGCTCCTCTAACAGCAGCTGACTGCAGGTGGAAAAATTATTATTATTATTATTATTATTATTATTATTAGTAGTAGTAGTAGTAGTAGTAGTAGTAGTAGTAGTAGTAGTAGTAGTAGTAGTATCGTTAGAGTTAGATTGTCGTTGTTGCTGTTGTTTATTTTTTGATAACTGGATGATGAATACTGAGAGTTCGTTTGATGATTCTTGCAGATATTTCAAGAGATTTTCTTCCTGTTTTTAAAAACGATGGTATAACTTGTCAATCAGTCAATCAATCAAGCAATCAATCAATCAATCAGTCAACTATTGTATCTGCATATATACATAAATATATAAATGTATGTTTATTTGTATGCGCGCGTGTGGCGCGCGTGTGTGCGTGTATGTGTGTGTGTGCGTGAATGTATGACGAAATCATCAGAAAGCAATTTGGCAAAAAAACATGTCAAAAAACAAAAAAAACACAGCCTGCCTAATTATTCAGTGTAGTTTTTCCACAATTATAAATGATGACTGTGAAGACAATGAGTAAACAACATCATCATCATCATCATCGCCACGACCATTATCGTCGTCATCATCATCATTGTCAGTGTGAAATGTAAACAAACAAACAAACAAACAAACAAACATGTAATTAGCCACTATTATTACTGCTACTTATTAGAATAAAAATTATCAGCTGAACAACCAAGAAGGGTGATTTTACGTAATTACATCAAATAACAGCAATCAATCCTTACAATCCTTACAACATGACCATCCTTATTCAATCATTACAATTCTTACAATCCTCAATCCTTACAACATGACCATCATTATTCAATCATTACAATCCTTACAACATGACCATCATTATTCAATCATTACAATCCTTACAACATGACCATCATTATTCAATCATTACAATCCTAACTACATGATTATCATTATTCAATCAATCATTACAATCCTAACAACTTGACCATCGACCCTAACATCTTCAGAAAGTTCAGTCCCCTCGATGACCAATAGGAAGAGTTTATTGTTATTTCGGAGGAAAGACTGAAAAAGAAAGTCGTAATTTTGTTTTGAGTGCGGCCTAACTTCGGGTAGGTAGATCTCCAAACCTGCCTGCAACAACTTATTAGGTACATGTATTTCTAGGTAATACGATGATGAAGATGACGACGATGATGAAGTTGTTGCAGATGACGACGATGGAGATGATGATTTAATATCTTTGGTGCCATAAACGTCATCAGGGGAGATGTTATTTTTCCATGAAGAATTAGTTCGTTTGAAGGAATTGAACGAGAAACTACTTCGAGGGTTGTTGTTGTTGCTGTTTGATTGGTTGGCCGTGACACTGGAGGGATGTACAAGATCTGATTGGATTTTTGAGATTCTCTGCCTGGTGCCATTTCTGATTAGAATTGGCCGCCAGAGTTGATTAGTGTCGTGGAGGTTGAAGATGTCCTGCTCCAGTAAGTGCTTGAGGATGGTGGTTCTCGATGATGGGCTGTTTGTCAATATTATCAGCGTCGGGGAGTTTGAGAAGATGCTTCTTATCGATTGCTCTTCCTCCGATGAAATTTCTGCCCTTACTTTTGATTCTGCAGAGAGGAGGAATGAAAGTTTCACATTACATACATTAATAAATCACAAATGAATTTTTTTGTTGTATTGAATTGAGCGCCTCTACAGTCATCTTCCAAGGCACTAAACAACATGTGGAAGTTCATTCTCATTACTATTTATAAATTCTTAAAAATAACTCTAGAATTAATTGAATACCAAACGAAATGAACATACTGTACGAAATCAGTGACCATTCACTGTCAGTTGACGTTGAAGTTTGTGTACTTGTGATTTCGACATTGTCTGTCGATTTGCTTCGTGGTGGGTTAGTGTTTGAGATGAAGTCTGGTTCGTAGTCATTCTCGTTTTTCACAATTATTGAAGAGTAATTATCTTGGAAACAAATTTAATTATCTTTAATAATAATAGACCTATCTAAGTAAATGTCAAACCAATGTTAAACAACTTGATAAGTAGTCAATATTTAAAATTTTTAAAGTTAAAAAAGGATTGAAAAAAATGTGTGAAAGTAGAATTTTTGTTATTAAATCTTTTCACACCTAACTGTGCAACACAAGAATCAACTCATTCAACTCAAACAAACACATCATAAATAATATAATATAATTAACTAGCAACAACAACAATATTGCAAACTACATACACACTAACAACTAACTGAAACAACTAGCTTTGTTGATTTCGGCAAAGATGGACTTGGTCTCCTCTAGCAACTGTTTCATCAATTTAGCATTGAACCCGAACGTGAAAATTTCTTTTGCCAGTTGAAGCTGAGCCATCCCTCTGGCAGGGGTATTTCATACATATTCAATTGTATTATTATTGAACAAAACAATAAAATAAATGAGCAAAATGCTGTCATAAGACAATTAATTACTAGCAGCAAAATTAGGCAGTTCAAGCAACAGGCTGAAATGAAATTAAAAACAAAATTGAAAACTGATATTGAATTGAATATTGAATGCAAGCAAATTAAATTGCATACTTACTGCAAGTAAAAAATTGAAAATCTCACTTGCCTACAGATAGTTCTGTACAAAGTACTCCCGGAAATGATTAATTAAGATTGTCAGTCAGATTAAACTTAAACAAGTTTTCATTCTAAATTTAATTTAATAAATTGAGCCGAAACTGAAATAAATGTCACAAATTGTGCATCAAATATTTAAATCAATCTTTTCGTCACTTCTCCAGGTTGTTTACTTTTCGGGATACAAACAAGAACAAAATAGATGGTTTACTTTTAACCGCAACAAATAATTCTTGAAATTTTTGTTTTTTATTTTTTAATACTTTGAAACCATTAAATTCAGAATTTATAAAATTAAAATTGTTATGTTATGTTTTTAAAATATTTTTACAAAATTATAGTCATACACTTGAAACAGATTATAATTTGTAAACCATGGATATATATATATATATAATATATATATAATATATATTATATATATATGTATATATATATATAATATATATATATATAATTATATATAAAAGTTGTAAACATTACCTAATCCAGGACGAAGCAAGTTGCGAGACTCGAGAATCAAGAACCGATTGTGAGCGATAAATGTTGTCGAACGTGCAAATGTTGAGTTTTCAGAGCTGTGTTGCCTCAATTGTTGACTGCTGGAGCTCATTCAACGTAAAATTTTAACGTTTTAACGTTTCTCAATTTAAATTCACAATTTTAATTTAATAATTTTTGTTTAGATTTCCCTCAGTAATGGTTGTGCTGGTAGTCATGCGGCGGCCAAAAAGGCCTGGTTGCCCGGTGCTGTCATTCAGTGGCTCATGGAAAATAGTAAGTTAGACATTTTTAATAAGGGCATTATTATAGCATAGCTAGTAGTTAAGTTAAGAAGAGTTAACCTTAACCTTAACTAGCTTAGTTAGCTTGTTAGATACTAGTTTTTATTTAGTTTAGAGATTTATTTAGTTTAGAGGAGACTAGCACTCTAGTAACTAGAGAGAGTAGCAGTTGTCATGAACTAATTGTAATTTAAAATTTTTACACATTTATTAACTTAATTGAGTTAGCTCACTTTTACTTTTCTGCTTAATTTTTGTAGATAAATATATTTATATATATATATATATATATATATAAAGTTTGAATATAATACTAATTCATATAGACTCACCATGTATTATATTATATTAATAATTATATTTTATATAAAATACAACATTTAGTGTCAATGTTAAACCACATAGACCATCAAATGATAGACGACTGACAAATATCTTTTATTAAAAATCTGAAGACCAGAAGATGACAGATTTTACTTTAATTTTATATTTATCTAGATTGCTCCGACGCCTATGAACTAGAAGACACTTTGAGCTCTATATTATTCAACGAATTCCATCTTTTAGTGGAAGATGGTACTCTGAGCTTGGTAGATAGCCAGTTTTTTTTTTTTTAATTGATGAAATACAGTTTCTTATGTATATAAGTTTTTTGCATAATGTTAAACAGTTTGTGAATTTACATTCTGTGGATACAACAATCAAATGAGTAGAAATATTTTTCTAAGGTGTGTTCACAAATAATAGACGCGCTAACACTCTGTGAGTCTGGGAGAGCTAGTGAGGCTGTTGAAAAGTACTGCAATAAAAGTAACAGACCTGTAGCAAACCCACCAGTAACTATTCAGCAAGACGACGACGACGATGACGACGATGAAGAAGTTAGTAATGGTCAGGATGAAGATGTTGTGATGGTAATTTTTCTAAACTATTTTTTATAAATATACCTGTTAATTACTTGGGCAGAGTTTTATTTAACCATCTCCTTGTTGTTAGTGAAGAAAACCTTGGGGTAGATTTTATAGTTATAAGTAATATATATATATTATATATTTATTATTTATATAATATCCCTACTAATTCCTATCCTATATATGTATATATATATACATATATATATACATATATATATATATATATATATATATGTATATATATATATATATATATATTGCTCATTCTCTAACTCCTATAAGATTTGTGGAAAGACTTGTAAAGCCAAATTTTGTTCTAATTTGTTTTGTTTTTTTGCTGACAATTATTATAAATTAATTAATTATAATTAATAACTAAATATTTTTATAATTTTTTTCATTTTTCCCAATAATCTAAAAAAATTGTTTGAAATTTCATGCAGATGGATACAACAGCACCAGACAGTTCTACCTCTGGTTAGACTATAGTTTAATTGTATATACATATATATCTAATCATGTATATTTCATTGAATACATATATATATTTATATATATATATATATATATATATATATTTGTGTGTGTGTGTGTGTGTAGGCAATACATCTTTGTTTGTCTACCACACGCGCGTTTGTGTGTGCACGTGTGTGTGTTTATATGTGTATTATCAACAGTATTAATTAGCATATCAAACATGATGATTTAATATTTTATAATGCAACCTTATTTTTTTTTTTCATTCAGCAGAGCATCATCACCAGCCACAACCAGAGCAGCAGCAACTACAGCAGCCACAACACCCACAATCATCGCAGCAGCAGCAACCTCAGCAGCCACGAGAGCAGCGACGAAACCTGTACAACCAACCTGACCAAGATGGCTGGACAACCGTGTCCAAACAACACAAAAAGAAATGATTCTATCTCCTAATTAGTCATTGCTAATGAGTGATGGCAGATACTGTAAAAATTGTTTTTCTCCCTCACTTCATAGGTTTCCTTGTAAATATTTTGCAAAATCAGACAAAAATATCAGCATCAAGAAGTGGCTTGAGTTTTTCTTTCACTTCTGTTATGTGAGCTAACTATTTAATTTCCTGATTTTATAATTGATTGATTGATTGATTGATTTATTGATCGTTCAACGATTTTATAACTTTTTGGCAAAGTTTATACTACAAAACGATAAAAAATTATTTTTTTTTGCAAATGACGTTATTTTCAAACAATAATAATAATAATTTTTTAAATTTTAGTGTATAAAAACAATTAAAATATTGTTGAAATGCTTTTTTTTCAAAAACTCGATTTTACTTCATAACACGTCGTCTTGCTTATAATTAATAGTGTCGATGTAAGTTTTAAAACTCACAGTAAATGAATTGATCTATTTTACGATAATATTCGGGGAATTAAATGAATAAATTTCTAAAATAAATTGATTTAGTTAGACTTTATTTCGTTGAATTAAATAAAATTTGAAGAAGTAGCGCTGGAAAAATGAAGATGAAAAATGTTAGTTTTTTCTGATCTAAAAGTATTTGAATATTCCATTGTCTCCATTTCAGCAATTTATTCACGTCTTTCAATTCAAATCATTGGACCTCTTTGACGCCTTCAGTTTGGAGCTCATGCTTCATATTAGGCTTTCAAATTGGAGATTTATTAAACATTTTGTTATTATTTTTATAATTTGTTTTTTTTTATTTATTCTCAAATTATTTTTTATAAATTTTTAAATAAAACTAGCAAAACAGGAGCAATGAAAACCGTAGAAATAGCGTTAGAAGGTCGTCGTCTTCAAGTGCCAGGCAGTGCAACAGCAAGTTATATGTCGTATGTCAACTGTTCTTATGATAATTAGATTGAATGAATGATTGAATGGATAAATGGATGAATAGATGGATGTGAATGGATAATAGAATGAATTGATAGTCGGTTAAATGAATGAATATGGTTGAATAGATGGTCAATATTTGTTCATACCCGCATTTGAATGTATTTAATCACAGATACTAAAGAAATATTTCCACAAAAATCGATTTCTAATCTGTAATAAATTGAATCTAAAATCATAATTGAAGAAACTTTTTAAATGAAAATTTGCAGAAATTAGGAAAAGTCTTGTCCGAGTTTGTAACATCAGAGCAATCGTATGTCAAAAGACTGCATCTTCTCTGTAGGGTAATGTATGGATTTTTATTTATTTATTATTATTATTTATTTATTTATCATTTATTTATATCCATGTGGTAATGTGTCGCCCTATTAATCATTCATTATGCGCTATATAAATAAAAAATGTTATTTGATTGGTTGATCGGTTGGTTGATTTATTGAGTTATTAACTAGTTAATTGATTAGATGGTTTGTTGGCTGGCTGGCCTATGATTGATCAGTTAATAATTAACTTCATCTTCTGCACGCATTCAATTACTTCCCTAAATAACAATCCCGACAGGTTGTGAGAGTGAACCTAGCCAAAGCCAACTTAAACGACATTCCAACTGAATTATTGTTCAATGACATCAGCGCTCTCTATAATTTTCACTCCGTCAAACTTGAGCCGGCATTTCAAACCTGTCTGTATTATTACAAAGATCCGAAGTAACGAATAAATTTTTTTTTCATAATGTTTCTGATAGACTTACTTTATGATTTATTCTTTCATTATGATGTTTATAAATAACTAATTTCAATATTTCTAAACCCTTCTTACCCCTGATTGGACCACAAAGTAAATATGAAAAAAAATTGATGGGTCGTGTCGTTCTCTCATTGGCTGATAATTTCAAGCTCTACCCACCGTACGCTGTCAATTATCAGAAAATTATCGAGACCTTTGATGAACTCGTTCAAAATGATTCCAAGTTTAGGAGATTTGTCGAACATTTTGAGGTCAGATGATGATAAATTTGTTTGTTTGTTTGTTGTTGTTAGTGCTGTTTAGTTTTGCTGATGTTAATATTATTGTGTTGTCGAGTCCTCTGAACTTAGGAAGAGTGTTATATACCTTTTATCATTTTTAACCATTATTATTATTAATAATAATAAATTATCAAATTAATTTTATTTTATTTCTTAACTGAAACAGAAATCTAACGAGAGTATGGGGTTGAAGTTGAAGCATTTATTTATAGAACCGATACAACGTTTGCCTAGATATGAATTGCTTCTTAAAGGTTGTCTTTACTACTGCTGCTGTAGTCGCTGCTACTACTGTCGTGGCTGCTGTTGTTGTCGTTTTTGACGCTGTGGTTATTGTAGTTTGTGGTTGCTGATTTTGGGGTTGTGGTTAATGGATATCTTAATTCGTTCCTAACACGAGCGCATATGTTTATATATAAAGTTTTTTTTTTTTGTTTAACAAACATTTGTTTATTAATTAATTAATTTATTTATATTTATAAAATTATAAATAGATGTTTAAATAATATTAATTAGAATATTATTTTTAAAAAAATATGTGTAACACAGAGTATATCTCTTGCTTGGATGAATCAATGGAAGATTATAAATATGCCAAAGGTTAGACGCTCAGACTATCAGACTAAAAAATAAAATAACTAATAAGTAATAATTATGAATAATAAAAATAATTAAATTAACAGAAATAATAACAAAATAATGATAATAATAATTGGAAGAAATCGCAAAAGTTATGATAAATATGCATGAATAGATCTCAAGTTTATCCGGTTTTTTTCAAATCAAATTAATTAAATTTTTAATCAAATATATAAATTAGTTATAATAATTATGATTATTATTGATTTAATAACAATAGTTATCATTATTAAGATGCCTTGGAAAAGATTGTACAGTTTAACAGGCGTTCAAATGAAGGAATAAGACAAGAGGTTTATTATTATTTTTAATGGGTTGTGCAGATGACTAGTATTGTGTAGCGCTACATAAATTATTCATTCATTTTGTCGTTCATTCATTCATTCATTCTGTCGTTCATTCATTCATTCCATTCTTTCATTTGTTTTTGTTCTTTTAATGTATATCCATTTATTGGTTCGCCCGTTTGTTCATTCGTTTTTTGTTTATCTATTTTTTGTTCATTCAACCGTTAATTCATTCGTTCGTTTATCTATTCATTTATTTTTTCATTCTTTCATTCATTCGCTCGTAGGAGAATGTATCGAAAGTTAAGCAGATCATGACAATCGTGGTCAACATTGGCAATCTTATGGCACCAGGTTGCTTGCTGATTATGCCGATAGTGACGATGTTGATGACGGCGGTGTTGACAATAGTTATGATAATGATATCGACAATAATGATCATCATCATCACCGTGAACATCATCATCATCAGGACGATCATACGTAATGGAAGCAGATGCTAACATCATCCAGCCAATAACAGGCAAGATTGTTGCCCGGAAATTATATTTGGTCAGTGTTGACGACTACGATCGCGGCGATGACAGTGATGATGATAATGATTATGATGAAGATTATGATGATGATTTTGGTGACAACGATGAAGAAGATGAGTTAGGTTTCAATGACTGATGATTTGAGGATGAATTTTTAAATTTTTTTGAGGTATTACATCATTCACTCATTCATTCATTCATTCATTCACTTATTTATTTATTCATTCATTCACTCATTTATTCATTCACTAATTTATTTACTTATTTATTTATTATTTAATTTACTATAACAGTTTAACGATATGTTAATCGTCTGCAACAACAAGTCGTCTTATAAAGACAAAAAAGCGCTTTATGAGGCTGTACACAAAATTCCGTTGTCCATACTTAGGGTATGGTCATTCATTCGTTTATTCATTTGTATGTTTGTTCATTCATTCGTTCGTTCATTCATTCGTTCGTTCATTCATTCTTTCGTTCATCCAGTACAGAGCAGTAGCAGGCAGATTGTACCTGATCAGCCCGATGGCAATGGTAGAGTTTGTACCAAAGAACACTGAAGAACTTCAATCTTGGATTAAGGTGATTATTTAAATATCATAATTTACAGATACTATATTTTCTCTCTCAGATTTCACATATAAAACCTTTCTAAACATTCAACTTCGAGTGAATTTATTCTGCTGAAATCAGAAATGAACGAGATTTTCAAGATATAGGTGTAATTTAACGCTATAGAGTGATTTTATCTGTAATTATTTTTCCTTAAATTTTATTCCTCCATGTTTTTACTACAAATATTATTAGTAATAATTTGCTAGTAAATCGTTATGATCGTCGTATGTATATTTGTATTTTAAACAGGAGCTGGGTTTCTTCATAAAGAACAATAGGACCTTTCCTCCATTGTCCATCCTCTGATAGCCCTCAACTTTGTGATATTTTGATGATTTAATTTTGAAAATTATTTGCCAGAGTGTGACGAACTCACGTATATTTGAGTATACTAGCAAAATTTTGAACATTTCTTTAGCAAGATGCTGATCAGCTTGCCATATTTTTATCGTTTTACCTTTTAATCACTTGTTTGTTTTTAAAAAAAATCACATTATCGATTGTTCAGCTGTTTGCCTGTTTTTTGTTTTTTTTACACAAAATTTCTAAAAATAACTTAGAGCAAAGTAGGAGCCGGACAATGAGTGATCATGAGGCTTGCCTCGTTAAAGTTAAAAATAATGTTCAGTTTTTTGAGTCCGTCATTGCCGCAAGTATGAGCAACGAGAACAACGTAGAAGCCAAAGAGCTGTATGCTTCTAATTTGAAGCGCAACATAGAGAAGTTGAAACTGATGAAGTTTCAGTTTGATAACAACAGCAACGATGTCTGTGCAAATAAAAATAGTAAAAATAATTGTAATAATAATGGTTTCACTGAAAGAAAAATCACTTGTGGTAATGTCACAGCGTTAAATGAAGGTCCTTCAAAATCTAGCAATAATAAAATTAATTTCCCTAATTTTTCTTCTTATTCTACTAAAAACTCTATCTTAGTCCTCCCAACTACTGCTACCGCTAATGATGACAACCCAAATATAGAAACTGTATCGTCGCCCAGTGTAGCTGTCTTGAAAGCCAAACTTGAATCACATCAAAGCTTTCAAGATTCATTATTATATTCTTCATTAACGGTGCCAAGAAAAGTATTTTGGCTCAATTTTTTTTGTATTTTTTATTTGTATATATCAAGATATAATACATAGATTTTTCTTAACTAAAATGCCTTAGTTTTTATTTTCTTTGTTTAATTTTAGTTAGTTTGGGTATATGATTATATATTTACATAATACATATGCTAATTAACAAGTTGTGCATCATATTAAAATTAAATACGTTACTATAAAATTAAATATGTTATTATCATAAATTTATGTTACTCAATAGAGACTAGACAGAAATGCCAACAACAACAACGGCGGCAGCAACTTGGTTTTGAGGGAATCTTCCATGTACAACTCTTCAGCTGGAATCGTTAGAAAAGGACATTTCATAAAAGAAATCAGTGAAGATGACATTAACATCAACGACGTCAATGACATCAACAACAGTAAAGATGTCAGCACCACTACTAGTACTACTACTACTTTGGCTAATTCTGATCAGATGAAAATTAACAAAATGGATAAAAAAGCTGTTAGTTTTAATTAGCGTTTTATTTTTGAGTTAAGTGTAACTGATTGTCTGCTGATTGATTGGTTGGTTGGTTGGTTGGTTGATTAATGGCTGTTTAACTTTTACATTAATAAGTGTGTGTACATAAACTTATTGTTTTTCCTTCAGGGTCATTTCACACAGTCAAAACGCTATCAAATCGAAAATCTTATGTCATGAGTATCATATTAATACTGTGTTTACTTGTCACTAAAAAAGGCATTACTTTCATAATAAATTAAAATTTACTTTTTAAAAAAATTTAATTTAAAAATTTCATTAAATAAACTGATTTTAATTAATTTTTATTTGTTTTTTTGCCCTTTCTTTTCTCTCTCTCTCCTCTCTCTTTCTCTCTTTCTCACTCTCGCTCGATCACTCTCTCTTTCTCACATTTTACTCATTTAACTCAACTAAATGTGACATTTTCTATTTTTTAAATTATTTTTTCAAGTTTTCTGGTTTGAGTGAGATAGTATATCCTATTAAAACTAAAATTTAACCAGTACTGCTATATCCTATTAAATTGAAATGACAATAAAATAAATCAATAATAACAACAAGAACAATAATAATAGTAATAATAGTGATCAAATTTTCTAAAAATAATGCATAACATGAAGTGATGCATTGTTTACTTACCTATATCTTATCATTAAGTTTTTTTATTAATGCTATTCATAATACTCTTCATCTTATTTTCTTATTGTTATTAATATTGTTGTTATTGCTAATCCTTTATTTAACACATTATAATTATTATTATTATCGTAATTTTGAAATAAAATATTTTTTTTCTCTTATTTAATTTCTTGAGGCAAAACTTGACAAAGTTCAACAAGAGTTTGTCCATACAGAAACTAGATATGTTAAGCGATTAGCTGCCTTGTGTGAAGTTAGTTTGTGTGTGTGTATTTGTGTGTGTCCGTGTGTGTGTATGTGTGTAGGCGTGTGTTTATAGGTGTGTTTGATTTAGCATGTCATTAAACGCTATTTCAGCCATTAATAATTTTTTTGCT